GTAACACTTCTCCAGGCTTTTTATTTTACAACCAGAGAAACTGATCCCCAGAAGGTTTCTTAGAATGTTAGATTCATGATGAGATTACTCCAAAGGGAACAAAGACCAGCAACAAAAAGAATAAAATGTTTAGAAATAAATTTAACAAAAGAACTGCAAGACTGGTACACTGAAAACGGTAAAATCCCCCATCATAGAGAACTAAATAAAATAGGCACTTTTTGTTCATGAGCCATGAACCGCTATACCTCACAAATTGATCAACTGTCTCAATGCAAACTATCAAAATCTAGCTTTTGCAAAAAGAAATTGACAACATGACCTTCTGAAAATGCACAGGACCAGATTAGCCAAAACAACCTTGAAAAGAACAAAGCTGAAGCACTCAAGTTGCCAATTAACTTTCTACAAAACTTCAGTAATCAAGACTATTAAAAGCAAAAGCATAGACAAGATGATCAGTGGAACAGAACTGAGAAACACACCCATGTGTGTCTAATATATTCTTTACAATGGAATCAACAGTTCTATGGGGGAGAGAATCTTTTCAACAAATGGTGCTAGGATAATGAATATCCACATTCAAAAGAATCCTTGAGTCCCTAGCTCACACCATCTACAAAAACTCAAAATACTTCAAGGAACTAAATGTAAAAGTGACATGCTTTCATAGGAGAAAGCATAGATAATAAGTCTCAGTGATCCCAAACTAAAGCAGTAGTTCCTTAGCTATAAGGAGGTCGGTAGTACAGTGGCCAAGCCCTTGCTGCTAATGGAGAGTTCAGTTCAAAAGCACCAGCAGCTACACAGGAAAAATGTTCATAGGTTGCATTTGTAAAGATCACAGCCCTGGAAACTAGGGCAACTCGACTCTGTCCTATAGGGTCACTATGAGTTAACAGCAATAGGTTTACTTTGGTTTTCTTAGATGCCACACCTAAAACACAAGCAACCAAAGGAAAACATTAATTTGGCTTCATCAAAATGTTAAACTTTTGTGTTTCACAGGGCATTATCCAAAAAAAGTGAAAAGAACTCAAAATAAGAAAATATTGTAAATCATATCTACTAAGATCTGTGTCACCAGAATATTCTTACACTCAGCAATAGAAAAGGTAACTCAATTTTTTAAATAGACAAAATATTAAATAAGCATCTTTCAAAAAAAGATATACAAATGGCCAATAAGCATATGAAATGATACTCAGCACCGTTAGTCATTCCAAAACCCAAACTCCTTGCTATCAAGTCTATTCTGCCTTAAAACGACCCTGTCAGACACCTGTAGGTTTTCTGAGACTATTAATTTTTATGGGAGTAGAAACCTTCATCAGTACTAAAATTTGAGGATGAAATAATAATTTATAAATTGTCAAGGTGGGGTGGGGGAAAGAGGAGCTGATACCAAGGACTCAATAGAAAGTAAATGTTGTTCCTAAATGTTTCCTCCCCGCTCCCACTACCATGACTCGAATTCGACCTTGCAAGTCTGGCTAGACCAGAGGATGTACACTGGTACAGATA